ATCACTCACATGCTTCGTGCAGAAATACCTCCATCCTGAGTGCTGAGGCAGGTCTGTACACTGGCTGACTGGCCCTTCTGAGGAGCTTCCAAGAAAACAGAACACCAAAATGTTGATTAATTATTGGTTAGGATAGGTAAATGCATTGATTGCATTGTAAGTCAGTTTTATTACTTTATCCCGAATTAACATTTTAACTGATAATGCTAGCAAAGAAGGCAGAACTGAGGCAGAAACTTTTTTTTTTCCAATTTTGAGAAAATGAATTTTTATATTTATCCATAATTACTTATGTGTATTTCAGTCAACAGCAGGGGCTTCTGTCCTTAAGAGGTAATTGCTGTATCTGACTTACAACGTGTAGATACTCACAATGTGAAATGGTTAGGTTGTTCCTATCTATAGAATATATTTGAAAGGTGGGTTTAAGCTAAACACTTCTGCAAACGCAATATCCAGAAGGTACTCAGGAATTCTCTACAGAAACAAATCCTTAGCCTTCGACAAAGAGCCCTGTGTGTGACTGTGGCTAGTGACAGGTGTGGGACTCTGCCAGGAATGGAGCTGTGCGTGCCACTGCTGCTGCCAGTGCCCTGTGCATGCTCACGGAGTCATGGCTCGGTCTGCCAACAGCTCAGGGTGCTGAGAGATTAAGCAGGCCTCAGAACTGCATTCTGAAACCAACCTTCAGCTTTAAGTGGGAATACATTAAAAAAAAAAATCATTTTAGTTATCTCCCATTACTGATTTCCCCTAAATGACAGACTGCAATTAAAAGAAAAATAATGAGATTTGTGAGAATTCAAAACAAAGAGAAAGCTAACAGTCTCCCGTGCTGCTGGATGGTCAGTCCCTCTGCTAACATCTCCCTGCAAGGATTACAGTCGCCTTGCATTTCAGAACACAGGTCAGCACAAGAGATAAGCCTCTTTTTGTCTTATTCATGTCATGGAAACATTTCATTTCAAAGAAATTGTTCTGTTTTTTGGTGGTATGCAGGACTATCTGTGCTGAACTGCAAGTCATCAATACGATTTCATGTCAGGGTCTTTTCTTCAACATGATCCTGTGCCTATCAGTAAATCTGTGCTCCCTATCTCCTAGCCTGGGTCTCTTCCATTCTGGTTTGCACCTTTTTCCCTTCCTGGAGCAAACCAGAAAGGTTCCCAGGAAGTGCCATCCTGCACACATAGCCTTCAGATGAACACATGAGCCCAGAGAGAAGGGCAAGTAGGGTGTTCCAAAAAGAAACTGAAAATTTACAAAGCAGCTGCCAATTAGCCAGACCTTAATTTTGCAAATTTATTTAGGAAAAGGAATTAACATGAGCAAATGAGAATACCTCAGTGTTACAACAGAGTATATAAATGTCTAGCAATAGTCAAATAATTTGATCTTTAAATACAAAATAACCACATGAACACCTAATATACAGGTTTCATCTGAATACATATTTATTAGATAAATATTAGGTTGTCACATCATCTAACTACATACAGTTTTGCAAGACTAAAAATCACAATTATTTTTTCTGACCAGTTTAAAGTATGAAATGATTGCATTGTACTGTACATACAATGTACAAACAAAGACAATGGCCATTTTTGTGTGTTACGTCAGATTGTATTTTTTTTTTTAATTCCCCTCTGATCGCGATATCAAAAATTGTACAAAGTATGAATTTGGTTACAATTTACTTTTTTTGTAATCCCCTTATTTTTCTTCATTATTTCTGTAGCACCCTAAAAATACACAGGTGATAGACTAGTACACGTAAGCTAAATATTACAAGTAGATAAAACAAAACAAAACGAAGGATCAGAGTATATTACAGAAGTGAAAGTGAAACGAATGCCGAGACTCCACAAACGCTAACAAACAGGATTCATTTTCCACATAAGATGGAGCTTCAAGCTTTTTTTTTTTTTTCCTGCGAAATAAAAACAATGCACATTCCAAGGAAAATGAATGCATTTCTGTTAACATGTCTCTATTTGTCATTTACATATGTACAGATGTCCCTTGAGTCTCCGCTGCAGACATTGGCGTGTATCTGTCAGTCCTATAATAATGTCTTGCCAGCAGAACTGTAGATTTCTGTGGGTTCTTTCCCAGATGAACTTCCATAGGGAAACAATTAAAAAGTAAACAAACAAAAAAAGAAGAATAAAAATACTACTGGAATTTCATACAATAATTAAGCTTTAAAAGAAATGACTGTGATTACCCTATTTGCTAGGCTTTTTCTCTAAAATTTAATACGGCAGTGAACAGATAAAAAAATAACTAAATTTTCATTTAGAAGCATTTCCATACTGAATCTACTATACAGTACCTGATTTTAGCTGACATAGTTTTAAAACTGTCTCGTATGTCCAACATTTGGGAGATGGGTAAAAATCGTGTTTTCTCTCATAAGTTCTGCTTAGAAACCAAACGCTTCTCTAAGCTCCAACATGTCAACCATCCACTTTAATGCTCTATGACTGTACAAAGCAGATGCAAACACTGCTCCAAACATATTGCTAATATCTATGTGGGTTTGTTTTTTTTTTTTTCCCTTTATTCTTTCCAGCAGGTACTTTCAGATGATACATTTTAAATACTACCAGTTAGCAAAAAGTCAATTCTTAACATACCTGGTTTAAAATACTAACGCTGTGTTTAAGAGAAAAGCAATTTCAGGTGACTAACTTAGCTGCTCAGGAAACAATGAAGAGTGGATTAAATAGAATCAATTAAAAAATCTGAGCAATCCATTCCATCTAGTACTGAGAAATGTTCTTTATTCCAAAACCTATGGCTTAAGAAACTTCCCCCGAAATGAAACAAAACAAAACCCTAAGGGCATAACGTCAGTTTATCATTCATCACCCCTGAAAATGACTTCAATACATATATGAACAATGCAGCAAAAATACAGGGGAAAACTACTACAGCAAAATGGCTACAAAACACATCTGTAACTGAAGAATGGTCTTTCCTAGTGTTGGCATGGCAGCAGCACCACACCACAACCGTGTTACCGTGTATTATACCAAGGTATCTTTAATATTCTGCAGAGATCCTCTACAGGTTGTCAAGCCTACATAAGAAAAAAGACATTTCTAAGCAGAATAAAATGTACTATACTGTTTCCCTCCCCACCCACCAGCATCCCTTCGTGTTAGTGTGCCCAGCTCTGCAGGCTGGAACACCAGCACAGTGATATAAATACGGTACCTTACGTACTCGCTGCTTGCCTTAGTGCTTCTTCACCCGTTCAGACAGCTGCTCCTAGGTGTCCTGCTCACTGGGGCAAAGGGACAAAGCTTCTGCTGTCACCAGCCCACAGGCACCACATGGGCAGGGAACATCAGTTGGTTGGGTGATGGGATTTTTGCCCTAGGCAATCACTTCTTACTGTGTTTCCATGACAGAGCTGGGCCCTGATTGTCCAGGTACTGTCTGACATATCATTTCATTCATCAGGTAAACGGATATGAAGTTTGGGCTAATTTTTCAAAAGAAAACAGGTTGGGGGGGGGAGGGGGGGGGGGCGGGAAGGGGGAAGAAAAAAAAACCTCCCTTTTTTTTTTAAAGAACCCTAAATTTTTTGTTGTTTTTTTTTTTTTTTTTTTTGTTAAAAAAGGACCCATATATTTTTTTTCAGACAAGGTATTTAAAAACACCAGCAAAAGTATAATCAGATCATGAAAATGTTGAATATTATCAAAGACGATACTAAAATATTCACAAAGATATTTACAATAGCAATTCTTAAAATAATTGATTTTGCATAATGAACAGCGCCTTTCTTAAAAAAACTCGAAACAGGAAAAATATAAGTGTGGGACCATCTCTACATAATATGTTTGACAGATTCAATACTTCTACTGGAAAATAAAAGAACTAAACCGCCATTTCCTTTAATATCTACAGCAAGGTGCTGCTGACTAGCATATATATATCACGACGCATGTACAGCAGTAGTGGGAAATGTTAACAAAGAGCAAAATAAAACAAGAACTGCAAAGAATTTACAAACATGACTTTGGTGAGGAAAGCAAATCCAGAGTTGTAAGCACATAGCATGCCATTTACAGCTTGCAAACTGAACACAGAGGGCTAGGAAACTCTAGTCAAACAGATGGGAACAAACAAAATTTGTCTGGCACTTAAGTTTAAAATGTGTTGTGGCGAGCAAATAAAAGTTACTGGATTGGGTTTGGGATGAGGAAAGGAGTAGGTCAAATTTGCTTTAGTAATAAAAAGAAATTAACCAATAACTCCACAGTGGGCAAAAGCTGAAATGTTGCACCACGAGGGCAAAGTTGGCACACATGCACTTCTTACACAGCTACTGTACATAATTTATAAAAGAGAGAGAGAGAGACAAAGAGCACAGAAATGGGCACAGAAGCAATAGGAAGCTCATGCAGGAGAAGCAACCACACGAGAAGCACGGATCACAGGGGCAAGACAGTGATTGTGGCATTAGGGTCTCTTGAGGGCAGCAGCAATCTACCAAGTCATTTTTCCTCCCCATGCCCTTTCCTTCATGAGAACAATTTCTTCCTGGTACCTAAGGTTTAAAAAAAGAAACCGAAGGAGGAGAAAAGAAAGCCTGAATTATTTGTAACAGTCATGAAAACAGAACGCAAAGCAAAATAAAAAAGAAGCTATGTCTATCCAATTTCAATGCCCCTCTTCAAGCTGATTATGAAAAATAATTATGCAGATCGTGATGTTACTCTCCCTCATCCTGCAACGATTTCCTATCTGCCTTTGACCTAGCTTGTCTTATTATGTGTTGTGCAACACACACAGTGATGCAAACGCTCAGGAAGCAAAGGCTGTAGGTTAATAATTGAGAGTTTTGGTTTGCATTCCCCCCTCCCTCTCTTTTCCATTCTGTATGAATTAAATGGCAAAAAGACCACTTACAACAATCTTGACAGTTGGGTGTCAACGCAGCCACAAACGGTAATGATTTGAAACCAAACCACAGAAAAACCCTAAACATTGAAAGTATTTTTTATTTTTTCCATGTGCTTCCAATGTGTGTGTTTGAACAGAGGAATCCTTTGCAAAGAAGTGTTTAAGATTCCTGAACTTTTCTAAGTCCAAACACATGCGGCTGCAGCCTGGAGATGCTCAGGACTCCATTACTGACAACGTGTTTACTAAACTGCTGTCACCCTCTTGATGGGCTCGTATTTCTTCCCTACCTTTGCCATTTTACTGTACAATTTGTGCTTTCTGGAGCTTTGTTTGTGTTTTTGTTTTTTGTTTTGTGTGTGGCCAGAAAAATTACTCCAACACAAACTTGTGCTTGGAGAGGGACAGAGGAGAAGCAGGGTGGAGGGAGATGGTTTCAAAAAAATGGAAGAACATGCGTTGGAAGGACACTCTGAGACAGGTCAATTAAAGACAGTTCCATTTTGTTGCCTTTTCTTCCCTTGCCAAGATTTGTTTTTGCCAAGATACTTCACACTATGTTTATCACAGAACTCTCTCTCTATAGGATGAACAACAAACGGGGTTTCCAATAGCTGCACAACTGTCTGTGTTTTGTTGTGACGCATAGCATGGCGGACTCTGAGATTACTGCAGTTTTTTGTGTATTTTTTCTCCCGGCATTTTCACAGTTTTTGAAGCTGACAAAAGCAGTTCTGAGATGAAGAAAGCAGGGAGTGCACCACTGGATCAACTCGTGAGGTGTTTTTTTCTTCTTTTGTGGAAAAGGAGTGTTAAGATTCCTCGCTGTGCAGCCACACGTGTGAACAAGTGAAAGGGGTGGGGGAATACATGTGGGTTCAATTGTTCTCAAAGAGAGACAGAAGGTCATCATTGCTATTGCTTGGCAAATCAGGAGGATCCAGGTACGAAAGCAGCTCATCTGGATTTGTGAGTTCTGGAAGCAGCTATAAAATATAAAGATAAAAGGAAAATTACAGATAACAGAAATACAATTGTGAGAAAAAGGGATTAAAACACCATACATTCCGGGAAACTGGCTTTCATATACATATATTGAAATGAATCTGACAGCAGTAATGCTGCCTAACACCCTGAGGTGATGCAGTAGCCACTTGTTTGTGAAAGCCTGTATTACTCAACTTCCCCATCACAAAGCTTATCAATAAACAAAGTTTAATTCCTGCCTAGTGATGCTGATTAGACCTTCTTGATAAATGCCAGTTACGTAGGTTAGTTTCATGTAGAACACCGAATGTAAACTTGAACCATGCAGTCATGTAAGACTTATTTGATCCTTAAAGTGGATCAACAAAGCCTGGTGTATGTGACTGGCAGGCAGCAGCGTGGTGACTGCTTTAGGCCTGCATCCCTATGGAGTGAGGCTGCTGTGTCCACCCCTTCCTCATGCATGGACACACAGGCTGGGCAGTGAGCTGGACTGGAACTCACCAGATTTTGAAACTAACCCAGACCAAAAAAAGCCCCCTAATCAAAATTTAAAAATGCACTGAAAGTCCTAAGGAGGAGTAGGGGGCGGGGAGCGACAAGGCAGGCAGCTGACCTCCTTTTCTCTCTGTGGCAGTGACAGCTGATGGTAATTGGAAGTGCTTATTCAACTTCAACTTATGTGCATTTCAAGGTATTTTAAAGGGTCAGGGGCATAACACTCCAACCAACAGAAAATGCACTGATCTTCACAAGGTTTTAAATGTATCAAGATAAAAAGTTTTTTAACTTATGTTTTCACTAACACTGTATTTCAAATAGAACTATTTTTTTTCCCAGGCATCACTCAGATTCTTTTTGATCTGACAAGTCACAAGCACACCTCAGCTACTGAGGGTTTTGTAAGAGGCAATGTTTTCTGGCTTATTCTGCAACTTACCAAGTACTGGTAAAAAGTAAAAGTATTTATCAACTGACAGGGAAGAGTTTGTAATAAGCTCCCTTTATATTCAGCATTGAGGCCAAGGCAGAAAAACATGGAATAATTAAAAAAACATAAGTACAAGAAATGCATTTTAAATTGTTCTGTGTTTTCAAATACTATGAAAGTAAAATCTTGACTGCATCACGTTTAGCATACAAGTACTATATTTATATGCTTCTTATGCTCAAATGGATAAAGATATTTTTAAATAAGCTATACATGAAATGAAGAAGGAAGTTTATTACTTCCTAAGCATTATTAAAAAAAAAAAAGAAAAAAAAAGAAAGAAAAGTTTGCATAAACAAAACGTCCCTGAGGGAATGTTTTTCATAAAACACCTCCTCCTTATATACACTGCTGTTTTAACTGCTGTTGTCATACTGCTAGACTAAAGATATACAGCTTTTAAATGCATTTCACCTGCTAGCATAGTTTTCCGAGTATGTAGTATGGGACTAAAAGAAAACTGCGGCCTCACCATATGTTTAGGAAGTAACAAATGGTTGAATGTATCCCACAGATAGTCCAACTCAATTCTTACAAAATTAATGTAATGTGTCTGAGACTGATTCTTTTATAGAGAGGATTGCTTTTTTTTTTTTTTTTTTTTTTTAGAAAGGTGAAAGTTTAAAATAATACGCTCTTTAACAATTCTGTCTTCTGAATTTTGAGAGTGTATTTCACATGATGAAGTAATGGCAAAAATTCAAGACTAGGATATTTCTAAGACTCCTCCAAAGAGAATCGTCCAGTTTTTGCTAGTTAAGGTATATTTTGACACAGTCTCAAGGAGAAAAAGGGTAAAGGGGAGGAAATTCTGAAAACAAGAAGAGCATTTCTGAATGCTGGGGTGTCTCCCTGCATGCAGGCCTGTGCAACACATGGCCCACGAGCCAGGAGCTGGCACTGTAGCTTGGCCGCTGGTGTGTGGGAATCCTCATGGGAGCCCCTTGCAGCAAGAGGCAAATCCAAGGACTCAGCTGGGTGCAATGCTGAGCCAGGAAGGAAGGATGGAGGGCTGAGATGGGCAGGCACTGTGAGGATGTGTTGGACTTGTCAGAATTTTAAGAGTACACCCAGTGCTCCTGAAGTGATCCTGTAGTGCTCTCACCAGGCATCTGCGCCCCGTGCCTCTGCTGTGTGTGGTGTGAGTGTGGGTCATCTCCTTCTATAGGAGGTGTACCCTTCTGCCTGGTTAAGCACTGCACTGAAGCACTAATGAATGACCCCATCTATGCCAGCAGGCAGTGAGCCCAGCTGCCCACAGTGCATTCCCCAGCTTGGTTCCAGCTCACAGACAGTGCTGCATGGTGCCTTGCTCTGCCTGGTTCCACAACAGTCACCAGTAACTAAACCTGCTGACATCATTCATCTGAGCATGACTGAGCTCACAGATATTTCTAAGCTCTATGCTCTCCATACTGTGCAGCGCTTGCTTCACTAAGCTACAGCAATTTCAGTTTCAGCGTTGCACCAAATGCCTCCACCAGCGATACAGTACTATAACATCTATTTTCTTTTCACTAAGGAACAATTGCCTGACCCATTACAGTGTACAGGGTTACTTAAATACTTGAAGAAAAAATGAGATTTTTATTTCACCTACTGATATTACTCATATGGCATCCTTAAGGGCTCAGACCTCCAGTTGCCACATGACCTGCAGCTCCTGAGAGATGTGCCATGGCCTTGCTGTGTGACAGACACAGCCCGGCTCCAGCACAGGCACTGCTTACTGAGGGCTTCTCCCAGTGCCTGGAGCCTGCCTTCCCCTGCGAGGCTGCCTGATGGCACAGTGCTGTCATGAGACAGGGAACAGGCACGCACACAACAACAGCACGGACAGGTATAAACCTGAGGCACAGAGTGAACACTTCTCTCAGAAAAATACATTGTGCGGCAGACTTTGGACCAGACAGAAGATACAAGTACAGGAATGCATGACTTAAACGAAAATTCAACTCTAGTGCTAAGAAATATGACCTTTGGAAGGTGAGTGGTTGACCAGAGGGATGCCTCAGGTAGCTCACTCCCAGCACTAGCAGTGGGTGGCTGCAGACATTACTTCTGTCTTTAACACTAGGCTCATCTTCGTTTAGTCACATGCTGAGCTCAACCCTGGCTAAGGAGGCAGAAGACGTCCTTGTTGTTCATTTGAAGCACTTGCATGGTATGGAGCAGGACATGTGCTGCTGAGTGCGGTGGCAGGGCCCAGAGCCAGGGATGGATGCCACTGCTAGGCACTGCAATGCTGAAGCTGAGCCAGCACACAGCTCAACGGGCACCATGTGGCCCAAGCCCGGCCCATGTGCAGCCGCCTCCTTCTAAACTGGAGGCTGCAGCGGCTCCAGGGCCTGGGCTCATGCACACGAGTGCCTTCATCAGGCAGCGAGGGGATGGGAGATCTCTCTTCTGTGCAGACACTCGACCTGTTGTCTCAAGAGAAACCTGCCTGCCTGCTATGAGGAGGACACGGCTGGCACGTCATATGGCTTAAAACAGAAGAGTTTCCACAGCAAGCCAGGAGCGCCCTGTCACCTCAGCTGCAGTGACTACGCCCATGTTCCCAAGCATGAGACGATGGCATGTGCTGTGGAAGCGGCTCCCCGTCCCCGAACCCACCCCGCCCTCCCGCCGCCATGTCAAGCACACGCTATGGCAGGCAGATGATAGTATGACACAGACTTACATCCAGCGAGGGCTCCGGCATGTCAGGTGCTCCCTGTCCACCAGCCTGACCCTCTAAGGCTGAGGAGGGATTAAAGGTCAGGTCACTGTGTGGATGGTTGCCAGAAGCGGCCGGGGGCGGCTGCCGGGACTGCTGGCTGGGAGGCCCGCTGTGATGTAATGGCTGCCCTGACTGGCTGCTGGGGTGAGGGACGTGCAAACCTTGCTGCATGGAAGTATGGGACTGATCAGTGCTGCCGGGATGAGGGATCTGCGGAGGAGGAAAAAAGCAGGAAAAGAAAGTGAGGCCACAAGGTACAGTGCTCGCGGTGCCTGACTCTGTAACCGCATGTTAAAAGGAAACAACGAAAATGAATTAAAAAGACCAAAAAAAAAAAAAAGAAAAAAAAGAAAAAAAAAAAGAAAAAAAAGCGTAATTGGAAAAGAAAGCTCCATATCCCAATGCCGGAGGAAATGTTTGGCTTTTTGGAGGTCACTTGCAAAGGGAAATAAACACACTGGGTTTGTGCTGCTGCATTTGCTTTGCTGTAATGTGGGAAGCTGTGGCTGAAGGTGCAAATCAAGCAGCCCATGGGGTTGAGGGGGGCTGATGGTGCTGCTCAGCATGAGCCAGGCAGATGCATTGCCCTTGAAAAATTTCAAGAATCAATGGAGAATTTGTTGAATCATAATCCCTGTGCCAGCAAAATGATTAACTGGGAAAATACTTAAGTTCTACTCAGATTCCTTATTGGGCAGCTTCCCTGACATTGCTACCTATTCTTGTTTCAGCTTGTTACAAACATCTGGCAAATGCCAGCCCTTCCTACGCCTTCCTCTATTTTATTTTCATCCATCTTTTCAGAATACAGCATCCCTTTTAAGGGATTTTCTTAGCTGATAGTTGAAAAAACCAAGCTCCTCAGCCACCCATAGAGCTGCCGGAGGTGGCCACATACCTGGTGACACCCTGTGAAGTACAACACATTATTTTAAATTAAGCAAAGATCATGCAACAGAATGCATTTTTATCTTCACATGGGCAAGTTCTCTACCAAAACCTTTGTATTTTCTAGGATTTCAATGGGGAATAACCTACCAAACCACATGCATCTTCTAAACCCTATTACGGAAGAAAGGAGGAAAAAATCTCTCTCACATTACAGAGAAGCAACAAAAATGCACAAACCCATGCTACATGTCATCTTTAATGCTCGTGGACTCTTTGGGACTTGACCATGGTGCCATGAAAAAAATGAGTGTGAATGCCTTAAAATTGTTTCATGTTAATTGGGTATATGGAGAAGCAAAAAATGTAAACATTTTTTGAGAAATGCTACATTGCCACACAGTGGAGCTGAAACAAAAAAACAGATACGTACAACAACAGCATGAAATTCATCCAGCCAAGCCAACAGAAACTGGCAAAATGCTATGTCACATGTCAGCATTGACCCTTTCATAACACAGTAAACTACAAGGCTATTTTAACCTTAATCTTCACTTTTGGAAAGCAAAAGGGAGGTTATTACAAAATTAATATTCCAAGATATTAAGGAAAAAAATATCACAGAAACAAGCATTTTATAAAGAAACATTTTTCCACTCGCACGAAAACTGACATCTGAACAGTGATACAATGGGACACTCAAACTCAGCTACATGGAGGTCCTTTTCAATAGTTTGGCAGTAGGAATGTTGGTGGAAATTAGCAGGATTCTATATGTAAAGTGTTTTTGTGTCTCTTTCCTATATGAGACTTTAAAATAACTATTACAAAGTACTGTTGCACACTCTTCTTTCCATTAGCGTCATAATTTGACTACCTGGAAGGTATTCTGTAACATTATTGTTGTTACCTTAGAGGTAAACTTGTACAAAATCCACCCATAGACCACAGTTTAATGTAAATGAATCTGCAGCCTAAGACTTTGCAACAGTCCAAGTGAAAGTAGATGCCTGTCCAAATAGTATCGTTTCCTTCTTCGTTCATTGAGAACACACGCAAAAGAAACTGTGCAAAGTAAGAAAGCTTAATAATAACAAAAGGTAAAGAGCAATTAAAGACAGTGTTGCTGAAGCGGGAAAGTTGTTTCCAGAAAATTAAACAAAATCGGATCATGTTGAAAATTCTCTCAGATTTATCCCCCAAATGCACATGGCAAGGGTCACACTAGTGTGCTTACAGAAGTAATTATTTTAAAAAAAGAGGCATTCATATGTTTTCAGATATATTTCAGAACAGATAAGCAGGTTAGAAATTTTATACATTATGTTTCCATATACTAACATTATATAAATGTTTTGTTGATAAAGCAGTATCTTGAGCAGAGACAACTGTTGGACAGGGACCCATTGCTCATTATAAGATGAGGGTTATCATTATCTTAAATAGCCAACACAGCTTCAAAATCCACCTGATGGCATTCATCAAGGCCTACTTGGGACAGAGTAAATGCTCAGGACTATTTTTCTGTCTTTATTCAGCTGAGTAATGATGAATTAACTACCACTGGTGTAAAAACACTCTAAACGATACGACACATGGGTCTCCAACTCACGTCTGCAACTTGCACTGGTTTTATTTCAAAAGCACTAACTTACATTAGGAATGCTTAGTCAACAAAGTTGCCACTGCTTACATAGCAAGGTAATTCAGAGTTGTTTTTAGGAGTGTAAACTGTGGCACTCTTAAAACATTTACAATCTGTAAAAGTAAAGTTTATAGCTGACACAACTACATCTTCTGTTTAATAGCATAAAACCACAATTCTTTATGAGTCAGTCTAAGAGTGACCTCTAGGAGTGCTGAGATGAACAGCAACAGAGCTTGCCAACTGCAGAATGATATTCCTTTCATCTCAGGAGAAAATTGATAGTGAAAAAAAAGATCATTAGGTTAAGTCAATTGTTTATATATCTCTCCACTATGGAGGTCACAGACTCACCAACTGTTGGAGCTGTGCTAAGTGGCAGAACCATGGAAAGATGCCATCCTGCCCGGCCGCTGTTCTCTGCCACATTTCCCATCCTTTTTTCCTTTGCCATCACATGCATCCTTACAAACTCAACAGGTGGACTGTCACAAATCAAAACCTCCCCCATATTTGTTTTCAATTATATCAATACCATATCCTAATAGCATGCATTTCTCTAAAAGCAGCAGTTTTAAAGCTGTCTTTCCTGTGTGTCTGTTACCAAAAAACAGTTCCTTTCTGAGAGAGAAGAATGAAGATAGGAAAAACAGAGGAGGGAAGCACAGACTTCATGATATTGACAAAGTTCTGCTAGAGTACTATCAGTTCACAGAAGTGGCCTAAAAACTGTATGGCCAAATTGGCAAGGTCAATCTAATTCTATCGTGCAAAGAGATGTGAAAACTGATCCTTATTAAGGCAAATCACCCACTGACATAAGCCAGGTGGAGTCTGCTTTAGTGCCACTTCCTTTTCTCAAAATAGCACAGCTTGCATTTCATAATAGAATAGGGAGAAGCAAGGCAAAGGTTTACTTTAATTGCTAGCTATCATAAGCAAGCATTAGATCTGCTACAAACTGACCCAGAGAATCAAAAGTCTATTATCAGTTGCCCAAATACTCTCTTACAGTTCTGCAGTATGCACAGCCTCGAGCAACTTTTAACTGCTCTTATCTGTAAAGAGTCCAATTTTCAGAAAACCACAGATTCTTCACTTTCATATTCAACCGCTTCATACCCTGCCACTTCAGAGATTTTACTAGGGCAACCTCTGTAGTAAAGGTAAAGCGGTTAACCGATGGAGTGGAAATGTAGGTGTCACAGAAGGGGAGGTGCAGAAGAATTCCCCGCGGCTTTGGTTCAAAGGACAGTAGCTGTGTGTGAGTGCTTCAGGTTGGTAGCAATTCCCCTCACCACTACATTCTTATGCTGTACAGTTGGTTCAGATACAGACACTCAGGTTGCTCATTAAACTGATATGTAAAATTTGCCAAAGTAAAATTAAATTTACAGCATGCTTGTTCTATCCTTTATTAGCCTGTGAAGTGATAAAGTCATTACAGTTCCTGGACTCTTTCTTTGCAGACATTTTTCTCACTTGGGATCTGTCCAAGCTATACTAAGAATGCTCTCTCCGCTCCCTTCCTATTTCTCACCATCCTCCTCGGAAAATCCACTGCCAGCTAGAGGAGACACTGACTGAGTAGGCTTTTCCTAAGCATCTGCTACCACATATCCTCATTACATTCTGAAATAGTACTTTCTAGTGCTCAATGAAGTCACAGCACAGATGACTTGTCAAGTTAAACGTCCTTCCTGTGCAGTAACAGCACATCATAAAGTCCCTGCCCTGTAACTTAATTGAATATAAAAGGATATATACACACACATATACCACACAGAGTTAAAACAGATGACTAGCCATGCCTAAGAGCTAAACACTGCAGGTAACTTTTCTATCATCTTGTTGCTGCAGTACTGCATCATCTGGATGTAAAGTTCTGTATATAAAACTTGGTCCACTGAGCAAGCAGCTTTTCTAATGAGCAGTTCTGCCTTTCCACCTGAGATCTGAGGAACCTGTTTTTTAAATCTATTACATTGGTGCAGCCTCAGACCAGCAGCAGTATCTCTCCTTGAAATCTACAGGCTTATCCTATTCCCAACAGCTTAAAGGTGTGTTTTATTCTACTTGGATAGCATTCCTAACAAAATGCTTTGGTGCAAACTTTGACCTCAGAAACAAAGTCAGGGAAGACACTGTCCCTGCTCTGAATCAGTCAACGTCTTGCTATAACAAGCTGTCTGCTGAAGATGGACATTCACGGATACTGCTGGCTAGTTTTTCCCAGGTGTCAGAGGAAAGCACAATGATTAACACAGGTACACTGAGCCAGGTTGTTTCTTTCAGATAAACAAGCTTAAACGACAATTAAAAAAAACCCTTAAAACATTTCTCCACAAACTTGAAAAGGCCAGAAACTAAAACTGACATTTCTGACAACATTTCTCAGGGCTGCTCTATTTCAGATGCTGCCAAAGTTAGGAATCCAAAACAAGGAAAATCAAATCACAAGGAAAGTCCATTTGCCTGACTGGAGCATCTTACTCCTGCAAAGAAAGATCTACATCTGCAGCATCATTACTTACAGATTCCTGCATAGGGTGACTGAGAGGTTTGTCGAGAGCTGCCATGCTGCTCGGCATGTCTGGGGGATGTGACAGCTGTGGCCCATGCATGAAATCATTCATAGATGTTCCACCAGGATTCCCGTGCGGAAAATCAAAATTGCCATGACCTTGGTAACTGTTACCTGAAAGACAAGCAGATACAATACAAAATAATTTTTTTTTTTCTTTTTTTTCCTGACACTGATCTTTTATAGTCTTGCTAAAGCTGTGCAGGGCTATATATCTCCCTTGCATAGGATGGGGAACATAGCAATGTTGCGCTCCCCATTGCAGAGGCAGCTGAATGAATAGGGAGGAAAAATGGCATTTGGCTTTCATGTATTGGCTACTGCTGGGAATATTAGAATTGATTGTAGTAATCCGTGTACATTCTGAAAATAACTGAAACCTCCTGACACCTAGAAAAGCTGCTGTTAAGTCACTAATTAAACTTAGCAAGACAAAAAGTCAGAAGAATCAGAGTGAAACTGACTCGCTGCCCAAGCACAAATTGTATATAGGACACCTGTGTTATTTTTATCTACATTTCCACGCACTGAGGAGGACTGTAGCTTTGCATCAGTTTCTGACAAAGTTAATTGACCTCTTGTTTCTCAGTATAAATAGGCAACTTCTGTTGAGATAATGCAGAAGAGGCCTCCATGTCTAATTGAGGCTTATGATGTAATTCTCCTTGTTCCCATGAAACCTAATAACATGCATTCGACTCTAATTTTCCCTTTCTGGAAACACCTACCCTCATTTTCAGAGCTACAAGTTGCCTGCTCGCATCCTGTGTTTCAGATGTGGATACATGCATTCACAAATGAAAAATCAGCAAATCTATGAAATGTAACTTTGGATGGAAAGGATGTTCTCCAGAGCATCAAAATTCCATAACAATTCAGACTCAGGTTTTAACCCTCACACATCTACTATTTAGCAGCAAACCTGGGGCCCTCTGCTGAATTTCAGGACAAGTGTGTTTTGATCCCTTTCACCTCAGCCCTGTGAGCGTTACTATAATTCTGCAGTATGCATGCATCATAGTACAGGGAATTTATTTTCACAATTCTTTTCTGTTCTGATCCCTCTGTTAGCACTTTCATTTGAGATACCAACTCTGTTGGTTTATCTGCTCTGAAGAATTAGGACTGGACTGAAGCCATTGAGCTATTTTTTTATACGTGACCTAACTGCATGATACTGAACTCAGAAACAATAGAATAGTTTTCGAACTTGAACAGAGAACTTGAGGTTTCTCGGCTGGAATACAGCAGCTTTAAATGGAAGAAGTCAAGAAGGGAGTTCAACAAACCAAAGTAGCTGCAACATTTGCTCTTCAGCACAGTTTCATAAGCAGAAGCTTAATCTCAGAGGAATAGAAGTCATTAGCCATGTAAGAGTATTTCTCAGAGAAGTCAGGTCTTTGATCTACCATGTAAATACCACAGAGCCTTACTAATTCCCATTTTGCTAATCTGCAAACTGGATAATTCTCCCAGAATGTAACTGCTCTTGCCTCACTTCTCAGGAAAAATTTAATAAGCTCTTGTATTATCAAGTACTTGCTATATTTACAAACTATACTTCAGTACAATTACAAACAAAAACCACAGTAATAACACTACTACTTTTTTTCTAGAATGTTGTCAATCAGAGGACATCACTTAATAATAAAGACTAAGTTTCATTGCACCCACTGATAGAGAATAAAAACATGATGCCCAGGCATTTACAGCCATGCAGAAATACACCTTTCTCTGGGGCAAGAGTTAAGCCACCCACTGAGGGACACACCTGTAAAGTCATTTAGGATAATCTGGTCCCTTGCCCTGATACGTGTGTTGCAGCAGAGGTATAACAAAATGGATTTCACATGATGAGCTGAAGCTCTGAGCAGCAATGCCTAACTCTGCTACAGGATCTCAGCGGAAGGGAGGGAAATAACAGTCCAGGCAACAATCACTAAAGAAACACTAAAACCCAGCTTACATGACTACTGTGTCCATTCCTGAGCAAAGGAGCTAGAAAGATGATAAAGAAAAGATGGCTCTGTTCTCATGTTCTGACTGCGTTTCGCTCCTACTTAGCAACTGAAAAATTTGTGATTCAGTGCTCTTGGCTTTGTTATAGTAATCATTCATCTGTTTGAAAACCTGGAAAGTTTTATCATCTGTCATCAGTTTTGCAGTCATTGGAGCAAATGAACCATATTTTGCATGCAAGATACATTTTTCTTCAAATGCCTGCAAAAAGCACATATATCACCTTGTAATCAATTTGAGGATTCTGATGGTGTGAACAGTTGGTCTTTTCTCTGAGCTGAACTGAGTCATATCTTATTTCTTGCAAAAAGAACAGTCTCTGGTTTCATATTTTTAGAATTGTCAGTATAATTTAGTTATTCAGAGTATCCCAGTCATTTGAAAAGGTATTTCCACTGCTTGGATTTAGTTCTACCTTTCTCAAACTGGCAATGCATGGACAGAGGATCTCAGAAGTCATAATCTAATGCAAAGGTGTTTGCAAAGCAGCTAAAAGTTTGATTGATCCACGAAATGTCAGCCGCCTGCTCAAGTGGCAGGATTAATGACTCAGGTTTGCTACATAGTAAGTAATGTAGCAGGACGAGCTTTTAATAGAATGAGAGGGAACAGAAGGAAAATAGACAGAAAAAATGAGGAAAGATGTATATTGTGGCAGGCCATGAATGCTTAAGGGAACACACAGTGCTCAATGATTTAGAGAGAACTGCATGGCAATAAATGTGGCAGTCACCAATTGCCTTACTAAAAGATATTTCCTCTAACCAGATGAATCTTATATGAAAAGTCTCGTGTAGAATTTCAGAACTGGAGCCACACATATTTTGATTTCCTTTTGAATGTCCATGAGAAGGCAAAGTGACAAACCTGCGTAACAAAGGAATCCGACTGACTCACTGACATTGAGAGTAACAATTTGCATGAACAAAGATGTAAAACCTACCTTGGTTTCCATATTCGGTGGAGTTGTTGCCTCCTGGAGGAGGTGGGAGGGATGGGTAAGGTGATGGTCCAGGACCCAAAGCTGCAATCATCTCCATCACATTTGGCATGATCATCTGGCTTGGACTCATGGTCTTAAATCTTTTGGAGGGAATGCCATCTGGGTCATCTTTGATGTGAATATCTGACTTTATAGGGACTGGCCTCCAACTGCATGTTGGATCAATGGTAACTTCTTCAAACTCTGAGCTGTAAAATAACACGAGAATTTTAGCACATCACTTGCTCTTCTGTTTCCTGTCAATTCTGCTGATATTTCCCTAAGAAACTGATGGTAACAAATGTTTTTAAGTGTTCTAGTATATACAACCTCAAAATCTTTCACTCCTCAAGTGTGCTGAAAGCGAATTTTAGAAATGGCAACTGTGAGAGCACATTTCTGTTTATATCCTCACAGTGAAATCCAAATGTATCTACATATGAATCAGAAGGTCTCCTTCTAAACACAAGAAAACATTTCATCCTCCATTCTCATTCTTCCTTCTGCTTCACTGATGAAGTTGTCATCAGGAGATGACCCAAACAAGATCTATTAAGCAGGCAGAAAGAGACACTATTATTAGCTATGCTCACTGATATTACTAGCTTCACCAAGAAGCCATGAAACAGAATACTCAAGTTCAATCATTAACACCTTCTTTGGCATGACTGTCTCAGCACTCAATAAAATATGTCCCAGTTACTTAATCTTGGATATCAGAAATATCAATTCACTTACTTCTGTATAGCGTTGAGAATACCCCACATGTACTGGTCAACCTCCAAGCCCTCCAGCAGAGCAGTTTTACTAGAAAAGGAAAAAAAAAACAAACAAAAATCCAACTCCTTCATATTAGAATATATCTTCATATATTTAAAAGAAGGATAGGTTAGTGATGGAATCAGCAGTCTAAGATCTACCAACTATCTCTTACAAGTAACTTATAATGACTTGGGAGAAACAGCTTCAGCTCTACATCTGCTTTACGAAGATAATAGTTTTTAAAATCAAACAGGTTAAATAAGGGTACATGCATACATACATATGTAGATCTGTGTATGTCCACTAACTGTCCACATCTTTGTTGATTGTTGATTTTATTGAATTGTATTTCAGATATAAAGTCTCTTCAAGCACAGATCTCTCCTGTGGCCATCATCTATAACTACTAATTTTTAAAAATTGCATCTGTGCTGTTTCCTTGAGCTACGCAGTAATATGTCTTCAAAATAACTGCATATTATAACAGTTTTACAGAGCACACATGGGGACAGAACAAAACAGTAACAGTGATGACTTAGTTACATCGGCTCTAAGATCAGAATGTAGGTGCTCATACTTAGAGAAAGAGGATACAAATTTTAGCCTGAATATATCAATACATAAACTATGAAGTAACTGCTATCTTTTAACACATCCAATTCTTATTTTTAGCCAAACTCAAAAGATTAAAAAGCTTGAGGTAATTCAGAGAAATCATCTGAGCTTTAGGATAGCTATGAATCACAGATGGTCAAGCTTATCTCAAGTCTGTGACGTTCACAGAAGCAGATAAAATGGACAATGGCCACATCTATTCAACAGATAACATTGGCTGACACAGATGGGCAGAGGTGCTTGCAAATTGCTACAGCTACAGATGCTCGAGCTTAAGAGCACTGGCTCTCAGCTGAGGCTGTAACCAGGTCATAACCATGTGCACTAAGCACAGCAGGTTACAGACATTGAATGGGCTTGCAGACATTCTGCGAGTCTTTTTTTGCTCAGTTAAATGTGACCACTTTAAGGCATTATCTTCTGTTTCTTCTGCAGTATGCAAGTGCTCTGGTCAAGACATAAGGTTGAAAATATACTGAGGTATTTTCCTTTTTCTGTAAGCAATTTCTCCCAACTTTCGTAGTAGCAGCTTCTTGGAAACATTTCAGCTGTTTAAAATCAGCCTTATTCTGAATTGGAATCTTTTCTACTTTCTGCTTTTGCCTTCATTTGCACTTGACATTGACCCTGGAGGATCCTACTGGCACATGCTGCAGCCTCCAAAATTCCCATTCTCCTTGAACACTGGCGTTAACTGCATTCCTACGTGACTCAAAGCACAATGCCTAAGACAGTTATTTGGCATCCTTAAACCACCAAACTCAACTGGATATTGAGAATTTTAATATTTAAATATTTGAAGTTTACTAATTTGAGCATTACAACATGAAAATTACAAAAGTAACTCCAGAATAGACTATCTATTCTTTTATCATGGTATGTTGCTATCAGCTCCTTGTTTATACTTCATAGTCTAGAGGAAAATCAACTCCCAGTTCACCAGTTTCATGTAGATATCTGTCTTATCACTACAAATATTTGAGCTTCTTTTGAACTCTACACAACACAATGGTATCCTGATGAGAGCTAGCAGACAATACGCTCTGTGAGAAAATGTCCTGTTAACTGTTTTTGAATTTCTAAAAAATCCAGGGTGTTCCCTCAATTCATGCAGTACTGAAGAACTCTCACTGGACTTTAGGTAAATGTTATGTATTTATATATCTCATTTTCTACCACTTCCTTTCTCTCCCTTCCAAATAAATTATCTTTTCTTCATTACCTTCAATATTACTGAAATTTGGTTAAATCACCTACAGCAGCATTTCACATAGCATAGTTGCACTTACTTGCATACTGGACACCTCCAAGTTCCTCTTTCACAGTTCAGTTGTAAGTAAGATTCCAGATCAAAGCACTATGTATCAGAAAGAAAGAAAGGAAGAAAGAAAGAAAGAAAGAAAGAAAAAAGAAAACAACAAAAAAAGAGAAAAATCAAAGGAAAATACTGTATTAACTGAGTCAGACAAAAGTAAAACTGCCATGAATAAAACCCTACTAGAACTAACATCTAAACCAAGTAGTGTACTTGTCTCTACATTCAACAGAAATACATATATGTATTTAACTTCTTATATTGATAGACAAAAAGGAAATCTGTTAAGCTCTCTCTTACAATAATGTGTTACTACACATGGTGGAGGGAACACTGTAATGTCATTGGCATTTACTCACTTGTACATGCTTGCAATCATGACCCCTTGCTGGGAGCTGAATCCGCCGGAATGTGATCGGACACTTCAGAGACACTTTAATGGCTGTTTGCTCTACTCCATCTTCCCCATTTAGTGTTGCATTGCCAGAGGAAGCTGCTACACTACTGAAGTTCCTCTTTACTGTTTAGGAAGAAGGCATGCATGAGAAAATACATATACTCTTTAAATCCTAATGTAGAAATTTGAAAGACCAACAATTCATCCTTTACAGGCTACTCTAACAGACAATTTATCCACATGAGCGTATGCTGCATAATCTTGTGCTGTACAGACAAACCATCACACACATGGATATCAGCCTCTGTCTCAACTATAGCAAGTACTACACATGCACTTAAAGCAGCCCTAAATGAAAAAGGAGAAGAATTTTTTAATGCAACTCTTTGGAATAGGAGAAAAACAAATATGGGGGAAATGCAGACTATCCCAGGACAGAAGAGCCATCATTAGGGACTAAGTTTGTGTTCTTGGTATTTTGTTACCCCACCCAAACAGACTTCAAAATTTGAGTACCCCAAGGTTTTAATCTATGCACACAATATTCTGGAAATTCTTAAGTGTAATTTAAAGTTTTCAGTAGGCAAACAAATCTGGTGTAGAAATAGTTAATCACAATTTAACGTAGGCATTTTAAGAAAGTCATCACCCACAAAAAACAAAACTCACTCTTGGTGATACAATGTTCTGCTGGGAGGAGGCGTTTCTTTAATAGACCTTGAAGTACAGAGCGAACTGATGGCCGGTGTACTAACTGCAACACGAACAAGTGTGACTGAAAGAGAACATGCTTTGTTACCACGAGAACCAAGCACACATGGTACATAAGCTGCTGAACAGAGCTGCATTCTTCCCTTGGATGCATAGCTTCAGAAGGCATCTAATGCATAAATATGAAAGCTGGTGCTGCCCTGCTGAGTGCACGCACTCCCATAGGGATATATTGAATGCTGTACAGTATCTTGTTCTGTTCCCCAGGAGCACAGCATACAATAGCTTTAGAAAAAAAAGAAAAGATGTTCTGCATTTTCTTTCTCTTTAATATTCAGAATATGGAGGGCTGATATATTCATCTCTGACACTTGGGTTTATTCCTAAGACCCTGGATTCTTTGACATAATCTAGACTATCTGCCTGCCATCACACTATGTTATAAGTTGCACAATTTGCCATTGATCTGTCTGCAACTCACTGAATCCTCCTTCCCACACAGAGTCGTAAGAGCCTGCTGTGGATTTGCAGGATGCTGCCCCGGCTTTTAGCCAACAGATAAATGGTATTAGGCACAGATACTTCAATGTGAGGTAAAGCAAAATGTGTCAATGGCTCCCCATTAAAACGCCTCACACTGTGACCTTGGGAGAGGTAGCAGCTTGCTTTCTTGTCAGTAACAACAGAGCAATTAAAAGCTCAGACTGTAATGTGCGGAACAGTCTGCATTAAAAATATAATACTTGTATCTGAAAGCAACTAAACCATGCAAAAGGAGAAAGGGGGAAGGTTTCACGGGATATGAATTTTTCATCTGAAAATCACTATCAACAATGAGAGTGCTGAAGTTATCACGACAAATCAATTGCAGTTTAATCCTCTACGTAAATGAAATTAGTACTGGATAACAGTCCACACCACAACAATCTACTCCCTTAAAATCCTTCAGCCACTTTGTAACTCAGGCACACACTAAAGAGCTTGGAGAGCAAACTCCGTTCCTCCCCTGGGCCCCCAAGTCCTTTCAAACTCACTGAAGGGACACTGCTACAGTCTGCAATAATTCTGCAGCACAAAAAAAAAAAAATCAGCATTAGTACTCTGCCTGTGTCAACACCATTAAACAAGAGCCCTACCAAAAAAAATCGTGGGAAAAAAAAAAAAGAGAGAGGAAGGCTTTTTCAGCCAAGGCGACATTTTCAAACTGTACTAAATAGCAGAGTCAGCATCAGCAGCTGCAGCCGCAAGCTCGATGTACTTACACAACAACATGCTGTGACTGTAATTTGAATCGTGTTTCTTCCTGGCTGGCAGACATGCTTTAGGTGCAGAGGTTTATGAGATGTCTTGTTGTCACCACGTTCGATGGTAAGTGGGGTTGCATTAACGCTGACCTGGACTGAAGCTGGCCAGTTTGTGTTCATTTGTCTGTCTTCATGGTGATAGCACTTGAACTGTAATTCCAAGTCAGACCTGTACAACAACCAATAAATCTTCCTTTAACTTTTCTTGCACATTGCAGAGGGAGGTCTTTTTTGTTGCTAGGAACGTTTTTTCTTGACCAATCAGACTATTCTTCTAGAATTATTCCCAATAAAAGATATAACATACTTTCATCACAAAAACCCTTAACAGAAGAAAGTCATGATGAATTAATGATGCAAGCATGCCACAGAGTTGTTAATATTTTACACTTATAAAGGACTTTCCAAGGAAACATCTCAAACCACTTTGCAAAAACAGACTGTGAAATGATCCTCAAAAAAAAGAAATGTTAAAACGATAGGTTTTTCATGTCTGAGTGAAAAGTAAAGAACAAGAAAGTTATACAATGCAGCAGACTGTGTTAGAAGATTCCAGATCTTTCACTATTTCAGGGCATTTGAACAAGGTTTTGAACAAGTGCTTGTCAGATGTAGTACAGATACAGCTATTCCAGCCTTAGAACAGGTAAATCGACTAACAGAAAATGACCTCTGTTTCTCACTGCCTGTATGTCTTTGATTCCAAATTATCACAGCTGTGGATTAAACTTACCCAAGTTACAATTTCTTTCAGAGTAGGATTCCCTTCCTCCCTCTACTAATAAATATCACATGCTATTCTGCACCTCAAAATAAAAAAAAAGGGAGTGGCTAAAACTAAATTAATAAAAATTAAATTGGTAGAGATTATGACTTCTAAGTGTCGCACACAAATGTCAATGTGCTAGAAAAGAGCAATATGAAGAAGAAATATAAAAGAACATAAGGAACTGAACTGAAATGCTGGAATTCTGCTGTTTGTGATAACTAAAACATTCTGCCCAATGTTTATCTTTTATGCTTGAAAACTCAGGTGCTCATTTCTTCATCTTGTGTGGAAGAATACATCTTTGTAAGATCCACAAGGAACAGCTCATTCAGATCATCATCATAACTGCCATTTTCCTTATCAGAAATAGAGATTTGAATTGTGACTTAATACTGTCTTTTCTAGATTTCAAAACATCTAGATTTAGTATTGGATAAACATGTTTTTTTTGTTTTGTTTTTAGTAAAGAAAAGCACAGAATACAAATTAAGTGACCATTCAGCATAATCCTTCTATATCAAGTGTTCCTAGATGTTTTTTTTCTAGTATTTTACTCATAAGTTTTGAAAGATCTCTTCAAGATCTACTGGAAATTCTCATCTCATGAGAACATACAGCAACCACTGAAACCCAGAGGGAAGTGCCTCTAATATAAAACCCAAATGGATTATGTGCATTCCTGAGAACTCTGGCCAGGTCTGCTGAAAGTCTCAGGGTGAGAACAGAGATTAGGAGACCTTCGTGTTCTTAGCACACAGCCCCCCAGCAGGTCTCTGCTAATAACTAAGTAGTGCTAAGATTGAGCCAGCTTCAAGCCAGCTTCAATTTCTTGCTTTCAATCTTCTGCTTCTCATAACCATGAAAAGTTCCCAATGGGGACAAAAACAGTTCGTTATGGGTGTACATGTGAGAGGTTCTGCTGAATATTTTAACTGGCAGAAAAATATTCAGAACTGGCTCAATTCCATCATCTCTATAAAAACAAAATCTTTCCACACATGTGGCTAATTCATTTTTTTGGAATCCATCCAACCCTAAGGTACATTTGCAATGACTTTGTTACAGGACCATCCGTTCTCCCCACCACTGACAAGCTTTTCAAAACAGTAGACCTGAGCACAGTTTACCTACGAGTCTTCATTAAAATGAGTTTAAATAAAGGCTGTGTGTTTGGTGAGCTAAGGAAGAAAGAACGAACAGAAAGAAAGAACAGATATTAAGAAACAGCCTCATGCCTCAGTGCAGCACTATAAATCTACTGAATGAGCCAGCACAATCCCCAGTAGTGATTACTTATTAATAAGAACCAGCAAATAACTGCCAAAACTCCCTCTGCTTCCAGTACTCCACGATAATGAAATTCAAGTAAGCAATAACTGACCTCAAAGTTAGGTGTTAATTATTGGATGTGGTCTGTCTGAAATCTCTCTCACTTCTAACCCCCAGGCTACCTCAAGTTTGGGCACTGTGGCAGCAAACCACTCTTGTATCCTATGACCAGTCCCAGCTTTAGAGCCAGAGTCCATCCTGGGGGCAGAGAACCCAGCACATCTCTCTGCTACCCCGGAACACCTTGTGCTTTGTCCATGCCATAAAAACAGAAGTCTCAAACAAATTCCAGTAAATGGGAAGAAGGTCCTCAGGTGGAAAAAGCTGAAACTACAAGTTATTAGTCCCATTTAGGCCAGGGTGTATTTGATCCAGGCTCTGAAGAAGCTGAAAGTAAGGAAGGCATAACTGAAAATGTGCTGAAGATGCAGTGTTTTACCACCTCAACTGCTACACCCGTAAAACAATCTCTGTACAAGACAGTGAGCGGCTATCCAAGCTCCACAGTGCACAGAGCTTCACACATTGCAATCAGAAAACTGAAATACTGTCCGAGAAAAACAGGAGACAGAGTTATTTGGCAGGATTTGAAAACATAGAAAAAGAAATCTGGCTCTGATTGTAAGCTGATCAACATGTTGAAAGCAGCACATAAGCTGGAATCACTCATGCAAGTCCAAATTAAATTCCTATCACCTAGGAAAACTATTTTTCTGTACAGGAAAGTAGCATTTGCTGTAATTGAAAAACAGAAGACTTTATGTATGGGAAGCTATGTTCTATATTTCTGATCCATCCTTATTTGGGGATTCACAGAAAAGAGGGGATGTATGAAATCAATTTCAAAACTTTGGAGGATTTAAGCAGTTTTCTCTCCAACTGATGCTATCAGGCATCTAAACTGGGTTCTTCTTTAGCATGTTATTTTTAATTATCAGATATTCAGCCATTTAATTTTAGCTATACCTGCAACTAATATTTCACAGGTCACAGAGCACCTAGTGCTTCAGAGTCTGCTACATCAAAGTTTGAACCAATGTTTGTCACGCACATCCTGCACTCATTCTACCCAGAGCAGAAATGATGAAATGGTTACAATGACTTTTCAGAGTGTGCTATCAGCAAGGAAATGCAACATCCATCAGGAAGTATTTTAGAACACGCTGCCTTTGGAAATCAGCAGGTGATACCATCTTTGAGCATAAAGGGGACTTTTCCTAGCTAGGCCACAATTTTTGAAGTGAAATGGCAAACCTAAATGAAGTTCACACCGCCTGCCAATTTTCCATCGCTGGTGCAAGACTTCTTCACAACAAGACTCAGCTTACCTCCACATCAGCGTTTGATGAACAGTTGGCCGTAAGTGAAAGACATGGTTACTGACTGCCAGGTTGTGTTCCAGCCGGAAGGGCTCCAACACAACACCATCCCTCACGGGAAATGTCAGACGCAGCTCATCATTGTGGTTGGCTGGGATCGAAGAGGGAGAGAAAGCATGAACTTTCCCTTTAGCATCTGCAGTGCAATAATAATGTGTATATTTATACAGAATAGTAACAAATGGCACAGCGATCTGCTACTGGGTTTAACTTTGCATGTTCATACACGCACAAAAGAAAGACACAAGTAGCTACAGGATCTAGTCAATGCAAGTGAAAAGGCTCAAGCTGATAACAATGGAAAACCCGACTCTTTTATTCTCCTTTTATTCTGGGCAACAATGTGGCAAGAACTTGTGTTTTTATCACTGCATCGGTTTGGTGTCCAGCCTTACTCTCTCAGCAAAAAGACTGACAACTCTTGATTATGGCCAACAGCAATGATGTTTAGCTATTTCTTCTGCTTTGAACAGGGAAAAACATTACCCAATTAATTTCAGCTGAACCTTTCCCAAGATCAAATATACTAGCACACAATTGCTACTTGATCTAGTAACACAAGATTTTGTGGTAATTTGCAGCTAAACAGTGCAGGCCAAATGCCTTTAAATACTATGTTTTTGCCCAAACAATACTGCAATCACTTTCTTCTACTTCATTTTTCAGCTATCCTGAATTCCAAAGACTGGCTGCAAAGTGCTAATGCAGCAGAAGTCCTTTTTAGGAAACAAAGATTCTCCCAATTCCCTAGTAAGTAATATCTCCTACTGTTCATCAGTCACAGCAAAACATCAAACATCTTGTGCTATTATAGAGCCAGAGAGATCTTGTTATTCCTTCCCTATTCCCAGCCAAATGTAGCTGTGAGGTTGAGCGACTTTGAAAGGAACATATATCAATTTTTGGCATGCTACTGAATATTCTTAAGCCTGTATGGATCACAATAGAGACAACACTATAAATATTCACATCATATGCCATTCTGCCGTTATGTTCAATGAATGGCTTTGCCCTTGAACAAAATATACCACAATAAAAGTTCATACAATCAACAAGCCTACCAAGCACACATAACACAACTCGAAATTAAATGTTTTATCATCAGGAAGCGTATCAAAGGAATACTTTGAAGAAATGTGTAAAGAATACTTTAGCACTGAAGAACTTCTTGGGATGCTCTATTTTAGGAGGGGACAGTAATCCTTTCTTTTCCTTTTTCCTCACTCTGTAGAGTCTGTGCTGTGCAGCAGGGCCATGCCACCTATTATAACTTAGCAATCTGAGCCTCTCCCAGAGCAGCAATCAAACCTGGTTTCCAGACTGAAATGTATGTGGCAAAGAATGAAGGGACAATAAATGACAGGAGGAGTATTCTGGTTGCTACTACTCACTTGGAGGTGGTGGTAAAGCACTGATATTTGGCTTAATGTCAGGCGGGAATGGTGGTTTGACATCCTGGTTAGGTGACAGGTATGGAGGAATATTGCTCCCTGGAGTCATAGGTGGCGTGGGATTTCCTGGAACAGGTGAATGAGGGTAATTTGCCACAGGTACAGGCCTTGATGGCTAGAAAATAAATAACATCACATTGTTATTGCAGTCTGAAAGTAACAATAATAAGCTCTGTGAATTGTACTGTTATTAAACATCAACGACTACAAACAAAGAGGGAAGGCTCTTCTGTCTCCAGAAGGAAGAGAAACCACAGGATGTCCCATGAGGCCTTCAGGGAAGAGGCAGACCAGAAGAAGTAAGCAGGATCTGGATCCAGCAGACCAGCCAGTTTCATTCAGGCAATGACCAGACAAAAACCAAGGCTGCTAACACGCTAACTGCATTCCACCGAACGCTCTCTTTCCACAACCATTTCAGTTTCTCCACACCATTCCAGCCCATCCAGCCCTTTGCACCTCTTTAGTTTGCTTCCAAAAAGGCCCCAGTGCTCAAAAGCCTACATGAAAAACAAAATCCAGGGACACAGAATTAGAATGTCTGTGACCCTTTCTCTTCCATCTACCCTTTTTTTTCCACTCCTGTCCAATTCACCTACTCAGAACAAAGGCTCTGAGGCTCAGGGGATCTATTTTATTCTACACATCCACAGTTTGACTCTGTTCTCTGTCTGCTGCTAAATGAGACTAGCTAAAAGAAAACAGATGGTTAATTATATATAGTAGTTCTAGTATTAAAACGCCATTGGTTTTGCTTCTTGCAATTAAGGGGAAGGGTAGAGTTAATAGAATAAACCAGTAAGAATAATGTGCAAGATGATGATACTAAACAAAACTGCAACTGCCTGGCACCCTCTTTTAATAGCTAGTGTACCTTAAGTACACACATAACAGAGCATCACAAGATGAACATCCTTACAAGCAGCCAAAATATGAGGACTTCAAATCTGATTCCACATCTAAATGCCATGCTGCTAAGTAAGGTACTCTGATGTACCCAAGAAGAGAATTATATTCTAAGTCTTTACTTTTCCATCCTACATTTCTGTGTGTGTGTGTTCTTTTTTTTTCTTTTCATTAAAACATACAGTTCCTGTCTTCACAGCCATTATAGTCCAAAGGTTTAGGCTTCATCTACGGAATTTTTATTTTTTTCCCTAGCCAGAGATAATCTCCCTTCTTGACAATTTATTTTCTAACTGTTTCCCTGAACGGTCTATATTTGAATACAAAATGCATTGCAAAGAGCATAAATCCCCCATCAGAACTATTCCATAAAAAAAAAACTTCAAACCCAGCCAAAATAAACAAATGTAAAATATATATTTTAAATCTGTCACTTCAAAACTTCAAAGGAATCTTCTGCTGTTATTTTGGCATAATTGACCGCACTAGAACTGCAGCGGTTGTGTTCTTCTCCAAAAGCTGCTATGATGCAACAGGATTTCATGGGTCATGCTGCAGTGGACAGCTTGGCTGCACATAGAGCAGATACTCTATAGAAAAGGGTTTGGGGTTTTTTTTTGGCTCCTTTTTCAGTGGTGTGTTTTCTGTGTGATTCACACAAGAAATTCCAATCCAAGACAAATTTGCACCTTCCAATCTCCAAAATGAGAAAGTAACCTAGAGCTAATGTTTTAAGAGCAGATCAGACCATCCACAGTCCTCTCAATTTTTATATTCACTGAAGTATCCGTGTGCAAGAGACGTCAAACTTCAGAAGGTCTTCAGTAAAACTCAACATGGATAATCAGAAGCAATCGGGATAATTCCATAAAAAAGGTTTTATACAACACGCAAACAATTCTACTTTTTGCCCAAAACAAACAGCACAGGAAAACAACAACAACAACAACAAAAAACCCCAGAACTAACAAGAAAAACAACCCAACAACAGAGAAAACAGGGAGAAGTGGGCGGAAGTCATGCAAACTTCAGTACTGAACATGAATTCTACAGCTGGAACGGCTTTTAATTTTGGTCTGGTTTAACCTCACAGTGACCACTGCAGGTCTGAAATTGGGATGCTGCAATGTGGAATTTGTTTATTACAAATTTCCAAAGCTGTATTCTTGTAGTTTGTCAATAAACAGGTGAAAATTTTACAGCTGCATCCATTATGTACTTATTTTTACAAGCTATATTTAAAGTGAAACCAAGAGCTCCTAAGGAGCCGCAGTAACATTCAGTTTTCTTTATGAACCGGTTTGAAACTGTAATCCAACTTGTCTGATAAACTTGTTCCTGTGATATCTAGAACATAAGTATAAGCACTGTATTTTTTTCTGTCTTTCCTTCAATGATGTAAAAGCAGTAGCTAAGAAGCCATAAATATGACTCCATCCACAAATGTCTACTGGAACGAGAACTGATAATCTAAAAATGCTTACCTTGTAATACTGCCCCATGTTGACTGTTGGAGGAGGGTACTGCCCTGTATTCTGCTGGCTTGGCATCCTCTGTCCAGGATAGTTGGGAGATGTAAGGGGTCTTGGAGGATTGGGAGTGGGATACTGACCAGGCTGGTTTGGAAACTGGCTATTTGGTCCGTACTGCTGGTTTCCATAATTTGGCTATTTCACAATAGAGATGAAAGAAAACAAAACAAAGATCTATTTCTGGCAAGCAACTGTTCTGAATTGATTGTTAGTATATATTACGTGGTAGATTCAATACAGAACAAAATCAAATCTCCAAGTGAATATTCCTTCATTTAGCGTCACTCTTGCCTAAACGAGGGCCCTGATGCTTGGAAGTGCATATTCACTCAGAAGAGTGAAAGTCCCAAGCAGTGATAAGATCAAATACATACATTTTCCCCTGCATCTCAACACACACACACACACACACACACACACACACACACACACACACAACCCTTATGGTGTTGTTAAGTCCCCACAATCCTCTGTTTATGCTACCCTTATGGTTCAAAAGAAAATTCTGGTTTCAAAAAGAAACCTAGAATTGTAAAAATGTGAAATGTTCACAATATCTCTGTTTTTACATGCACTACCAGCACCATCCTTGTATTTCCTTTTCCAGATGGAGAATGGAAGCACAGAAAGAAAAAGTACCTTAAAAATATAGTAATTCTGGAATGTGCACAGAATAACACATTCTTACTGCTCAACACAGCTGCCACCCTGGCCCTGAATGACAGTACCCGAGCTAAATATGATTTGGTATTTGTCACAAACACCTTGCTAACTCTTGTGAGTATTGTGCCCATCTCTCGAATCAAAATAATGAAAACTGTAACTTCAAAGGTAATAAAATGCCAATTTGATGATTAATTGATTAATAAGAAGTCTCCATAAACTAAGCTCTCAAAAACCAAAATACAAATAGCATCGACAGAATTTGCACACTCTCAGACTAGCAAGCATGCAACAGTTAGGCTCCGATCAGTATTAACTTATTGGGAACATGATGATATTCAGTTATGACTACAAAGTTGCTTCTGAAACAGAAAAACAGAAGCCACAGCCTTCCCTAAAACATGAAGTCTGAAGATAAGTATTTTTTACTTTTATAATTTTAGAGTAAGTGGTAGCATTCACTCTACAGAGTGAAAGACCTTTCCAGAGAAACAATTCCTCCTTTTCTTTTTTTTATTATTATTTTTTTTATTCCAGATTTCTTAAAAAGCAGTTTATGCATTAGGAAAAAACTAGTCTTGAATACATAAATGCAGCTCTAGAAATAATGCTTGCTATAATATGTGCATGCCATAGTACTCTTTGCTGTATGTTTTTTATAAACTCTTACTATTGTTTTATTACATTTGGGGAAAAAATAATAATATTGAAAGCCTTACAGCTGAGTTATAGCTATTACTATAGTCTCTGTTTTATACATAACTTCACCAGGAAATTATATCTGAAGCCAGTAACTGGTGACTAGATTTATAAAGACATTTAGGCATACACAGATGCGGACAGGTAATGGATAGAATTCTCAAAAGCACCCACTGCCTAATTCTCACCAATTTTAACAGTAAAATGCCATTGTGCATTTTAAAATCCAAAAGCACATCTGCCTGCACCTTTAGTTGTCTTAATCTCTGTATCATTTTGACCCTAATTATACTGCTCGAAGTTACAATACAAATCACAATGGCAAAAATAATTTTGCATATGAAGCCACTCAGGTCTCACATAACAGCATGAGAACTTAGAAATACTACACTCCAAATAAACTTATATTAGGTAAGTGCTGACACAGAGGGACACGAGCTCAGCATGATTTATATTCATCTAAGCACTCATGAAAATCAAACCTAAAGAAGTTTGGAAAGCATTTGGTCTTCAAAATAAATGTTACTACTATTGGTGTTTATACAGTGTCTGCCCTGTACTTCCTTAGAACAATAAAACCATTCAAGAAAATGCAGACCACATACGTTCTGGGCTCAAATGAAGTATGTCACCCTTCAGCATGTCTTTGAAATTGTCAAGCGAAATAAATCCACACTTGTGAAGGAAGTCTGCTTAAGGTCTATGACTCTACCACCTAGCATGAGAACCTCAAAGTGACATTTTGAAGACTCAGATGGTTTGGGGCCTTTCTTGATTTTAATGACTATAATTTTGACTTACATATCAAGGACCAATCTGAGTACTTCAGAAGCTAAAAATCAATAGCTGCTGTCACTCATATTTTACAAGCAGTTTTCCTATCAAGTTTGGAACAAAGATATAGTTATTGTAGAGTGATGTGTATCATACATTATTTAGCATATAGCAACCTTCAGCCAAAATAATGCTCTATACTAAATAAAATAAACTAGAGAACTTCCTACCTCTCCTGGGTACGGTCTCTTTATGCCCTGTATAGGCAAAGACTGAGGCCGTGGGCCTGGGTAGGCTTGTTGAGGCATCCTCTGCCCATGGGTGCTGAAGGGACTCATTCCAGGAGGCCTAGGTTGGTTCATGGACATGGGTGGCCCACTCATGCTGGAAGGTGTCATTCCTGCTCCCATGCTTGCTGGGTTCATGTTGCCTGGCATTGAAGCAGGGCCACGAGGACCAGGCTGGTTCATAAACTGGTTGTTGTAAGCCTGAGTTGGACCCATCTGGAAAGAGGAACAAACCTTCAACGGAAGAAGAAGAAAAAAAAAAAAGAATAAAATGCGACATGCATTTAAAATGGGAAGAGGGGGCTGAACATGCTTTTGGGGGGAGAGGGGGAAAAGAAAGGGATGTGTTATGTCGCATTTTCCTTTAACGTTCTCCAGTTTTTGATAGGTGGTGATGTTATTTATAATAAAAGCTCACTTAGAATCATACAAGACATAAGAGAGACAGACAGGCACGTCTACAATGAGCAACAGTTTCAAAATGCTAGTCTATAATGGTTAGGCTACAAAGCTCGCTACATACATACAGCACTGTGCTACAATTTGTGCTATCCTTCATTACATCATCTGGCATACGGGCCTATATATTTCAAAACTCTGAGAGGTTTGCTAAAGAGAAAATTTGAAGCAATCGAACCCTTGTTTGTTTTCAGAAAAAAAAAAATATTACAGCAAATCATGATGTGCTGGAGGCTATGGATCACCAGAAATGCATGTCTCACATAGCCGTTCAGGCAGATGGAATTATTAAAAAGCAAATCTCCTTTCTATTGTTGTTTCCTTGTCTGAAGGGAGAAAACAAACTGACTGCAGTTGGCAAAATAAGCAATTACTCAAGCAATACAAAACCTTTTTTGAAATTCTGAAACATTTCACCAGATACTCAAGTTTAGAGGTTCACAGGACTAGCAAAGGCAGAAATAACACATTCATCAGATGTACCCGTAACTTCAGGTAATCTTTGACTGTTTAAAGGGACAATCTATGAAGACAGACTTTTTGGGGAAAAATGGGGCACTTCAACTCATAGCAACATTTATTCCACAAGTTTCTCATAAGCATTTATAACCATGCTCATGCAAAAATATAGGTTGGCACCTAAATAAAATAAAGGGAAGGCAGCCCAGTTCCCTGTGATGGTCCAAATCAGGCAGGTATGAAGTCATAGGGGCTACATTCTTACCGGTCCATACTGGTTCATGTCCTTATTCTGTGTTTCCTGAAGGGCTGCTACAGTGGCTGTTGCCGTAGCTGTTGCTGTAGCAGCTGCAGCTGCAACTGCAGCAGCGGCAGCAGCAGCTGCTGGCTGGGTGAAATCAGCTGGTGGCCTGGTGTGCGGCGGGATGCCCATCCCTGCGGGAGTATTGGGGCCTCCAGGGTAACTGACCAGGAAAAAAAGATAGAAAGAAACAATTGAGACGTGTCTGGTTTTGTTCTGAACTTCTGTGTTCCACATCCAGAAGAACTGTTTCAAAACTATGTTACCAATTCCCAGTGAGAGTCAGCAGGAGGAGGAATTCAGTGCATAAGTGAGATACAAGAGCTGCTCACGTGCCACTAGGACTGCAAGGCATCTCCCCCTGGTTGTTTGCTGGAGGGCACTAAACTGCTTTGCAGCAGCTCTGGAGCTTACTAAGAAATTGAGCTGAAATCCAAAAAGTTAATGCGTGCTCCATTTTGCAATAATTTAGGGGCAGATTGCACAGTAGCATGAACAGACAGCTGCCTCCACAAAAGCACATTCACCCGCCTTGGTGGCAAACTATGCCAAGTGCAAAAGAACTCCTCCCTCAACCTGAGCAGAACAGCTAGGAGAGACCCACTGCAATCAGCTCCTTCCAGATCTCGCACAATTAATTTTGCAGTTCCTAGCCAGGTCTTCCGCTGGTCATAATATAAATGAAACAAAATCCTGTCTTTTCAACTCCAAGACTTCAAGTATCTTTATAAATATGGGTCAGTACTACTGTGTCCATTTTAGAGATGTTAACATAGAGGTACAGAAACTTCATGGTTTGTTCAAGGTCACTCAATTGATCAGTGGCAGAGGTGAGAGATCAAGACATACAAGTCCTAAGCTTATATTCTTTACACGAGAATGGTTACGTTAACAACCTTTCCAGCAGTTTTTGCTGAGAGGCCATAAATAGTGGTTTCTGTTAAGTGGACTTACTACTCTTCTTTACAAAGGACAGACATAGAACATCAAAATTTAACAAAGCCCGGGCTATTACTTTAGACCTATCTTGCAAATGCATTATTTACTTCTCCAAAACAAAACAAATACACAATAAGATCACATCTCTTAACAAAATCTACGCCGCCTCCATTTTTATAATTCTTTTTTTTCCAAAATGCCTGCTGTGTTGCAAGCCTTTGGGCAGAAATACTCCATCCATAAGAATCTACTGTTGCCTAACGCTCAAGTTTATTTCTCCATACAAGCGCATAAATTATGTCATCAATATCTTTCACAACCTGGCCTTATTAAATGTTAATCATTCCTAAGCCTGTGGTCTATTTAACAATCTCTCTTAATTAGAACTTTATTTGGGGGGTTTATTAGAACTAATTGATTGACCTAAGCCATTTCCATTTACTGCGATGAATTCTGTTGTAGTTTGGGTAGCTGATTTCTGAAGCTATAAGAGCAGTATGCATTTTAGTTGACCAGCATAAAATAGCTACTGAGACTTAACACATCAAAATGAGTGTGTGACACTTTGATCACATCACTAAAACAAGCTTCATCAACTATTTACATTCCTTTTCCACCTCACACAGGTATATCTTACCTCCCACCAAAGCCTCCACTTCCAGGGTAGTTGGGTCGCCCATACATGCCCTGCTGTATATACGGCTGAGTGGAGCCTGCCTTGGCTGAAAACTGTTGCTGCTGTCCAGCAAACTGAGGGGAGTTGATTCCCGGGTTGCTGGTAGTCATCCCAGAAGCCATGGGATTTCCTCCTGGGTTCATAGGGTTGTTAGCATTTGCCATTGGATTTCCCAGCACCTGTGAGTAAGAAACATGAGAGTAAGGGGATGTACTTTGAACTACATCAAGCAAATTGTGTTGATTTGATGGAATCAATAAATTAGGATATAACCATCTTGTACTCTGAACTCTAAGCATGTGTCTTGCAGAAGCCTAGATGCACTGGCTTCTGACGATCTCTCCTTTACCCATTTTCAAACTATCAAGAGTCTCTGATATCTAATTCTCCTTCACAGAGGGCAGTTTAAAATCCACTTAGTTAACGAGAGCACTTACTAAAAAGTTTCAATAAAGACCTGCTAGATCCATATTCTTTAGGTGACACGGATTCAATTAAGAGAAAGCACATTCTATATTTTCAGTTTGTTTTGTTTATGTAGGACTTCAAAATGACTTACAAGTATCCAGCCCTACAGACATACTGTAAAGAATGTTACAGATGCAAAAACTATTAGGAGTGTGTATTTCCATGGCTTAGACTGTTTTGTACAATTTGGTTTGCTCAATTTTTTTTTTTTTTTTTTTTTTTTTTTCAATTGAACCAAAGATGATATGACTTTCTTTGAGACGTAAGCATGACGGTACAGGGATTATCTGCATGGAAATCTGCCTGCTGTTTAGGAAGAAATTTAGAAGTTACAATTTTTGCAAAAGACCAAACCACAAGGTGGTGTTGAGTTTATCCAGTTTTGAGATTTGTGATACCAAATCTGTGAGTCCAGCTCATCCCCCTGGGGAGCACGAAGACTTATGGGAAACCTTGCCATTTGTCTCAATCTGCTCTAAACAGCTACAGCCAACCCTCACGTTTCAGAGTTTCACCCTTTCCATGCAGTAATTCTGAAGAAGCATTTTCTTCCTTTTACCAAAGCACTTGTTTTCTTTTGTTGCACATTCCTCTGTAGTATCATGAAGAGCTTAAATAATATAACACTGTTCTTAAGATAGAACAAAACACCGAATCATTTTTTCTTTTTCCATCTTAAGTGTGAAACATTTCTGCAATGGATTATCTTCTCATTTTCTGGCCAGTGCTATTATGGACCTATATGTTTATATTTACTAAACTGTTCCTCTCCCAGATGGGAGACCTTGGTTTTAAAAAGAAATCAACAGTAATAAATGAGGTCTGGTAAGCGTTACCTATCTGTGTTTTTTGAAGGAAGACTGTGCCACAATGTTCACATAACTGCCATGTGACTATCTATATGACTTTGCTCCTGAATGATTACTTTTTAAAATGACTCAATTCACAACATTTTTGTTTTTATTTTTCTAACCAAACTTTTAAAACAAACGAACAGAAAAATTTGGTAAGGGATCTAATAACGTTTGATTTGAGAAACATGGAAAAACCAGGCTGGATTTACACATCAGTTGTGCCCACAAAACATGGCAATGTGTTTAAGGCACTTCATCCATGGTGTGAAAAGGGGCAATGTTGTCTGAGAGTATGACTTGTGTCAAAACCCTTGGAGAGCACACTATCAGAGATAACCCGTATCCTTTTCATTAAAGCTGCTTCCTTCATACAGCCTAATTTTGCACAGCATTATCTTTGGAGAAGAGAAAGAGAAGTAAAGATGGAGAGAATGGAATGAAAATCACAGAAATATGTCTCTTGCCTGGAAGCCAGATCTTGCTTTTACTCCAAGGCATACTGAAATACATTAGCGAAGTTAGGCAGCATCAACAGTGAGGTTGAAGAGAGTTCAACCTACATTTGGTAGTTGGTACCTCGGCATGGAGGTAGAGTTTGCAAACAGATCTCAGAAGCCCACAGTACGCAACAACAGACCCAGGTAAAACCAACAGAAGTTGCCATTTTGAGAATCTAGACAGAAACACTCTTTTTAATAAAAAAACTCAAACTAGAATTCCTAAGAGGTTTACAAAGAGGTGACAAAGTCATGCTTGTAGTACTTAAATATGTGCTATACCCTATCCTGACATATGCATGCAGCTAAGAGGACTGCTGATTGAAGCTCTCAGTCACCTCCTTTCTGATGCTTCCAAAAAGAACAAAACTGGAGGAAAAAAAAAAAAAGAAAAAAAAAAAGAAGAAAAAAAAAAAGCAATAAAGCAGTAAGCACAACAAAGAGAATGCAGACATGTTAATGATTCTAAGAGAATTTTCCCCAAAGCTTTCCATTTTGCAAGCATTAATCAAAACACAAATCTAGCAGGGAGGCAACATAAAAGAGAAGCTTACCTGGCTTTGAGAGGTATTAGTCACACCCCATACCGTGGTGACCACTGATAAGGAACCTGGAGGCTGGTTGGTATTTTGCTGCCAGGGAACAGAGTCGTAAGGGAAAGACCCATCACTGTGAAAACAAACGTTTAGGAGAATGAGATTCTGAAAGGTTAAATGGTGGCAAATTGCTGGTGGGAACACAGGATTAACACCTCACATTACCTTAACTCCCCATTCCTTTTTCCATTCTTAGCTTAGCACTCCCAGAGGCATAAAGTTTCTTCTTTAATAGCAATGTGATCTCACCAAAACCACACGGAACTAATGAATTCCTTGATTATATCAAAATACAGGGCTTTTACCATAAAGGTCTGATACCAGTGAAAGTAAAAATAAACTCAAGGGCAGATTTTCAAACGGGGACACTAAGCCAGTTGCTCAGAAGCACTTATTTTTTTGCAATCCATCTCAAGCTCTTCAACAATCACTTCTTCAGCTGCCTCATAACAATTCAATTAGATTTTGAGACTAGACTGCAGCTCCACTGTCTGCACTGGGTCCTCAAATGGCCAGAAGAGTCTTTAAAGGAATAGCAGTTCAACATCATTTTGAAAAGTAAATTGAAATTCAGATAGTGTTCTCCTACACAACGGATAAGCTGCATGCCAAAAACAGTATTAGCTAATCAGCATGCTAGAAAATCAACTGCAGATATACACCACATCTTTCAGATAAATATGTGGATGAGAAGACTGGGTTTTTCCATTAGTTTTGTCCACAGATACAAGTAAGCATTTCTTACAGTTCTTTTCATAAAAAAACTTTAATGGCTGCAAAATAAACACAGCATATGTACACACCATGTAATTAATGACATACGCTAAATTCTATGAAAGTAACCATTGATCCATCACCATAAAACACATCCTGATTTGAAATTTACTTGTTCTCATACCATTAACTTGTAAATTAGACTTCCATTTGCATATATGTACATATATACACATGATCTTTCCTCACCTAGATATAAAACCATTTAATAAGCATACAAATTGCTCTTTCATCACCAAAAGATCCTTACCTGTATTTTTTGTCAAGGAAAGCATTTTTGCTTGGATAACCAGTTATCACTAGAATTCTTGGTGGTGCTACCATACCCAAAGAATCTATGCAGGTTCTCCTAGAAATGTATAGGAATGCATCAAAGCCTAAGCTCCAGGGACCTCAGAAGTAATTCAAGCAACACCTGGCAAGGCAACAAAGCTGCCTATGCCCCAGTGAGGGCTCTGGGGCAGACTAGAGAGGTGACGCTCCTGTATTATCAGAACAGCATACAGGCTTGGGCCACTTCTCCCTTTTCTGCCATGAACCAAAATCAAGGACTATATCTGTGTTTGCTCTTCATGTAGCTCATAAAGTCTAGTGTAAATCATTCAATAATAGGAAATACATTGCCCAAAAAAGTGTGCACACCTGTGATAAAAACTGCCCTTGTCCAAAGTGCCAATAATCCTAGTAATACCAATAGCAGCAAGCTGAAATGAAATAGTGAGTACATTTTATAAGCAACTACTAAGTTTCAAACAAATTCCATATACCTGCGTCAGCACAGTAGCACTGTGTTAGAACATAATGATGAATTTAAACTGACCTGTTTGTTTCAAAATATCCAAATTGAATTAAGTAATAATAGAAAAAGAAAAGAATTTAATTAGGGAAAAAATAATTTCCCCTAACAAATAATTAGAGAAAATTAATGGAAAACATTAATTCTATATGAAATGCTTGATTGGTAATGTTTATCTTGACAGCATGCATATAAAATGATGTGTGAATAAGGGCATATTTAATGCCTTGCAATCAGCGAGTCCTCTTAGCCCATTTTTCTTTAAAATATTTTCTCTTACAAGGTTAAAAATCTTCCTAGTCTCCCTCAAAGTCTCAGACAGTGATTTTGGTGACTAATATTTGCAAGTGACGCAATGTTTCAGTGAGTCCCCTCGGTCAACATGGAGATGAATGATGACTAACTCACAGTGTGTGACTACTACAAAGCTCTCCTCTTTTTTCCTGCTCTGAATGATGCCTCCTACTTTATTTCCTCCTCTGATGGTTTTTGATGATGTCTGCCCTGCGATCTTTTCATATATTTATGGCACGCATGGACACTTGTATACTTCAATGACTACAAAGATCCTGCTATGACATAAGCACTTACAGGACTCGCTGCAGCCATTTCTGGATACTCACGAATGATGTGCGGCCAACGGGTAACAAAACCCGAGGGACAAAGAAAATATTTTGTAAGTGCAGGAGTAAAGACAATGTAAGAAGGGTAATGACAGACAGGGATCAAACCAGAGTCACTGAAGGCTCCTCTAATTCAAATAAGCAGTGTGGCTGATACACATGCTCATGCTTTGAGCTAGTGATGCCATAGCTTATGATAAGAAGTTGCACCCATATCTTCATTTTCTTTGCCTCCAAAGTATGTTTCTCCTATTCTCCTTTACAGTACACAGAAAAGAATTCATCTATTATTCATCCAACTGTAGAATCAGAACATTTGTTAGGCAAAGGTTGAGCTAGATTCTTGCAGATTATGCAATCATTTCATCTAATTATAAAGAAGAGTAAATCACTCAATTTTTACCACATTATGGTACAGTGTCATTTCAAGAAGCCATACTGTTGACATATGATGAAAGCTGCTGGCATAGGAAACTCAGCATGACACATGAAAGCCAGAATAAAAGGCCATACATAGATTTGTTGAGAAACATTCACTGCACACATTGAACCACATGACTCCTACGTTGTCCAACACAGAACTTAGTTCAGAAATTGCGGCAACTCTGAAACAGTGGCAGGTACTGCTTCACAGAACAACAACCTGTACACCTAATGTGCACTTACTGAGCTAGATGTCACTTTGCGCAAGTTTTCCTTTGGCTACTGCAGTGAGGAATATTTGGCATTCTCCCAGTTTGTACCCCATGACACAATACTCCAGCTATCACCCCCTACACACACGTTTGAGTCCAACCTTGCTACACTGGACATGGCACTCACCACACCTCTGCTGTGTGAATGTCTCTCTGGCTTTAAGCAGTGAGACATGCTGAAATACACAGCATTTAGCTTCAGGATAACTTGCCCTTCCATTTCTCCACTCCTTTAACTTGCATTTCTGTCCTTAGACAACCCAAAGGAATACTCCCACCATCATAGGCAAATCCATATAAGTATTATACTGACACATGACCAATTCAATTGTCATTTGCAAAAGAGCAGTCACTTCTGCTGTTAATATACAAGGCTGCATATTTCTGACATCCCTTTCTTGAGGCTTGAAAATGGCAGCCTGTAGGCAAAGAAGCTTCAAAGTCTCCAGGCCAAATGAAGTGCTGCCTGCAACGTTGTTCCTGTTGAACAATATGAGGGTAATTAAGTCTCTCAGTACATCCTGGAGGGCAGTGAGTCAGTTTGGGCTCAGCTGGAGTCCACTAAAAGAGTATGGACTAAATTTATAACAGCGTTAATGAATCTTTGCATGCTACTGGTCAGCATGAAAGGCCAAACAGCAGAGGAAGCCATAGAGCAAAGAGAAGGAGATGAAGAGAAACACTTCTTCAATGATGATGTAGTGAAGCTGTGACCAAGCTGTAAGTAGGAAAGATTTTTTAGCTACTGGCAAATCTACTGAAGCCACTGGTAATGCAGCACAAATGCCAGAGAGGCACACTGGCACATCTCTTAATTCCCAGTGCTAGAAAAACAGAATCAATCAGATGGCAAACCTCTTCAGAATAGTTACAAACTTACATCACACACAGATCGTCAGCTAGTTCTAATAAAAATAGCTTAAGACAAAGTGGGCTCCTTATAGTAAGTAAAAGCTAGGGAATTAGTGTGGCTCTCATGTGATTTGTGGCATTATTTGGAAATGCTGCACTTAAAATATGTTTACATAACTAAAACTACAATTGTTATTAAAGCAATTGTATGTGTATCAGATACTCTGTTTACATATCTTCATTGATTGAGGAAAGCGAGATTCAGGCTGTTCAGTGAAGTACACATCCCGAGGGAATTGATACTTTACATACTGTGGAGGAGTAGTATCTTCCTTGGTGATTTGCCACACATCTCTTGTTGGGAAGACTAGGTGTGTCTAAACCACTACACTTCTAAATCACTCCCTGTTTTAAACACAGAAAATCCATCAACTACTGAAGAAAAGCACCACATATTGGCTCTCTCAAAAAACCCTCTTCCCTCCAAGCACTGACATCAGTTTTCACAGAACTGGGCTTCCAGCAACTACTCTTTGCTCCTTACCCTCAAGCCAACTGTGCAGTTTTGCAGCAATCTGTAATACTTCCAAAGCTCAGTCACTCCACTCGGCTGGTGGCTGACACACACACAGGCCACACAGTGCTTTAAATCTACAAAATCTATCACAACTCCTTCAACTGACATCAACAAGAGCAGGTGATTACCCTCACAACGTTGACCACCATTTCTCATTTCTTATGCAACCCAAGCACACGTAGAGAGGAGTGCGCACCTGGCAACACAGACTGAAATTTTGGAGATCTAATCTCTACAGTTACATAGCCAAAAGCCAAGTTACATAGCCAAAAGCAGAGCAGTCCAAGCTCACAGCAGCTGTAGGAACCCCTGGTAGGTGGCAGCTCTCCCTGCCTGTGCCTCTGCCCCAGCAGAGTGTGTGTGCAGGGTGGGAGCACCCCGAGGCTGTATTCTTGGCTGGAGCCTCTAGGTGACACCACTTTAATACAAACTAACACAACGATTTCCAAACAAGACTCCAGGCTCCTTTCTGTCTCTCTTCTCCACCCTAAAATCCCATTCATCTGCAGTGAGAAAAAAAGGACAAATCCCACAGTCAGAACAGGAGACAAAGCCCTTCACAATTCTAGTATTCATACACATATTCCCTATCCCATGCTGTCTCACAAGGTATGCAGCTTTACGTGCTCTCATTCAGGTTTAGGTTTTGCTGCACTTGGGTTTCCCAAATGAACAGCGCTTGCATAGCTTTAATTATCAATATGGATTCAATTAGCAATCCTTCTTGATTAGGAATTCCACCACAGACATATTCTA